ATCCCAGGACCCTGGGATCATGACCTGAGCCGAAGGCAGACGCTTAACCATCTGAGCCACCCAGGCGCCCTGTATTATGAATATATTCCCATGTCAGTAAATATTTCTGTCATTTGTAATGACTGCTTTGTTTTACTGTTTGGACAGATAATGATTTGTCATTTACTTGTTACTGGATGTATTAGTTTGCTCGGGCTGCTGTGACAAAGTATCCCACACTGGGTGGCTTTAAACAACAGAAATTTATTGTCTCAGTTCTAGAAGCTAGACGTCCAAGAGCGAGGTGTCAGCAGGGCCACGCTCCCTTTGAAACCTACAGTGGAGAACCCTTCTTGGTCCCTTCGCACTTCTGGCGGTTTGCCAAGGCACTCCTTGGCTTGTAGATGCAGCTCTCCAGACCTCCGTTTTCACGTGCTCCTCCCTGTGTCTGCGTCATCGTCCCTCTGTGTGTCTGTCTCTGTGGCCAGATTTCTCCTGTTTGTAGAACACCAATCGTGTTGGATCAGGGCCCACCTAAATACCTTATTTTAGCTTGATTACTGCTGTCAAGACCCTAGTTCTGAATAAGGTCTGAGGTACTGGTACATGTGTCTTTTTTGTGGGGATACAGTTTCACCCATAACGTTGGACATGTAGGCAGTTTCTAGTTTTTCACTCTTTTAAGCAATCCAGTGCTGAACACTTTTAAACCAATTTTCTGTGCACATTCTTTGTTATTTCCTTCAGTTAAATAAGTTGAAGTGGGGTAGGTGGGTCCAAGAATGTACACACGAAAATTCTGGTAGTTACTTCTACTTGCCCCCGAAAAAGTTGTGCCGGTTTGTACTCTCATAGGCAGTTTATAAGACTGACCCCTCTCTTTCCTCACTAACACTGGTGCTGTCATTCTCCTTTACAGATAGGTAGTGTTCTCACTTTCATCACTTTCTTCGAAGAAATGACTTTTTCATGGAAACAGAAGATTTTTACTTTCTTTTTAATAACTTCATTTATCTCTCTGATAACCTTGTAGGGAAAATGGTGTCTCACTGTCTTCCTGAGCATTAGAGAAGTTAGATGTTTTCTCATATATCTTCTAGGCATTTTTCTTTTGTGAAGTGTTGATTTTACCTACTTTTCTACTGAGTTTCTTTTTTTCTTTTCGGATATTTAAGAATTTCTGTATGTTAAGGATATTAGCTCTTATGTTGTAAATACCTTTTCCAGTTGGTAATTTTTCTCCTAACTTTGTGCTTTCTTCTTTTTTTTTAATCTGGAGCTGGGGGAAATGCATAATCTTGAGAGCGTGTCCTTTGTGGCCCTCATCAGTAGCAGAAACCATTGAATTTGCAAATCTGAGGGCAAGCCAAGGGATGTACAGTCTAGACTTTGTTAGAAGGGGCAGCCTAGTGTAGTAGAAGGCATTGGATTTGGAATTTGGGAGTCCTCATTCTGCCATTCACTGGCTGAGTGCTCTTTGGTGAGTGACGTCATCTATCTGAGCCTCAGTGTCATCATAGGAGAAGTGGACACGATAATCTTGCTGTACCCCCCCTTTCAGGGGGCTTCTGTCGTGCTCTTGGATTATGCTGTTCATTGTTCTTCGTTCTCAGGATACTCAAGTGACAAAGACCTCTATCCTGCCACTGAGCAAGAAACAAGAGTTTTGTAAACTTTAGAGTGCCACGAATGTAGGTGCTTTCTCTTGCTCTAGGCAATTGTCAGTGAGCTGAGGGGCTACATGCAAGCTGCCAAAACAGAGGCTTTCTTGGGACAAAGCATTTTTCTACTGGAAAGAAACTTGCTTGAACAAACAAAGATGGTAGTTTTAAGAGAAGTAACAGTTGTTGAATGCTTAAAATACGCCAGGCTCTGTGCTAAGCACTATATGTGGATTAGGTTATTTATTTTTCAACTCCATTATGAGTTTGGCATTGTTATGATCCCCATTTTATAGATGAGGAATCAGGCTGAGGCAAGAGAGGTTAAGAAACTTGCCCAAGGTCACACAGTAAGGCGTGGAGCCAGGATTCAAACCCAGACAGTTTGAATCTAGAGTCTGCAGTTTTAATGGTATTTATGGTTATAATAAATATAATGCTTACTGTATACTGTGTATATTATGCTGGACAACAAGTAAAAGTATAGACAAGGGATGTAATAGTCTATGAAGATTTCAAAGAGAAATTTTTTCTCCCATTGAAATAGCTGACAGTGATTATAAGCATTATAGGACACACCTAGAGTGGCTTCCTCTGTGTTGAGATGCTTTTAATTAAGTGCAGTTCCAGCTTGAACTTTGAATTTTTTTTAATATGACATTGGAATGATGATCTTATATTGTTTTTTGATTCTTTCTAGGTTTCTGTTGTTTACAACTCATTAGACTTTGAACCAGAGATTTTCTTTGCCTTGGGATCTCCAGTTGGTATGTTTCTCACTATTCGAGGAGTGGATAGGATAGATGAGAACTACAGGCTTCCTACGTGTAAAGGATTCTTCAATATTTATCATCCAGTGAGTGACTTGAACTACTTTTTATTTTGAAGATGAAATACCTACATAGAAACCTATGTAAATCCTAAGATTCTCAGATTCTTTCTTTTTTTTTTTTTTTAAGATTTCATTTATTTTTGACAGAGTATACAAGCAGGGGAAACAGCAGGCAGAGGGAGAGGGAGAAGCCGATGTGGGCCTCGATGCCAGGACGCTGGGATCATGACCTGAGCCCAAGGCAGACGCTTAACCGTCTGAGTCACCCTAGGAGCCCCAGATTCTCAGATTCTTATTTCTTAGGAACTAACTCTGATTTTGATGTACAACTCAACTCTTTGTCCTAACAGAGAATAGTCTGATACTGTCCAATAAACTTTTCTACCAGAAAGCCTTTGTTCAAAGAAATAATCCTATTGCTTTGCTTGCAAAGTAATTTTACTCACAAATTTAGAAGTCGTCTTATAATTACCAGTAGCTGAATAACTTGTGAAAAAAATAAAAATCTCTGGTTTGGTAGTTATCTGTTTTGTTGCCCAGTCAAGATACATAACTCAAGATAAAAGAGCTTTTGCTAAATTTACAATTCTTTTTTTTGCAGCTTGATCCAGTGGCGTATAGATTAGAGCCTATGATTGTTCCAGATTCGGACCTGAAAGCGGTTCTCATTCCACATCACAAAGGCAGAAAAAGACTTCATTTAGGTGAGAAGCAAATACTATAATAACTTGTTTCCTTCCTCTCATTTTGTAATCTGTTAGTCCTAATGAATTATGTCCTTCCTGTCATTTGTAATTGAATTATGAAAATTTTAACACTAGATCCTTTCTGACAAAATTAATGTTACTTAAGTGCCTGATGTGTTTAGAACCTGTTTATTAAATGTTCAGAAGAGCTATAAAGAAAGTTTTGAATGAGTTGCTTCTCCTTGATGACTTTCTCCTTGATAAGGCGTTCTAATGGTTGAGATACTTAGGAATGGGGGAAGTCAGTACTAAAGTGATGAGATGCTTGGATTTTGATAGAATTTCGTCATAATGTTTGGAGTTGGGAAGCAGAGTAACACATGAATTAAGGACCAACAAGAAATAAACTTGATGCTAAGTCAAATGAGCTGTTACTTCCTTGTTAACTAGATAAACTTTCCCAATTAAAAATGTTCATTAAACATAATGGATCAGTAATAATTCCAAGTGGGGTTTATGTTTCTCTTTTGCCTGTTATGGTATGTATCTTCCATAGGTTTAAAGGTTTGGGTAGAAAGGATGGGAGTGCAGTGGAGAAGAAGGAGGAAAGTGATCATACCCCCCCCCTTTTTTTTTTTTAAAGATTTATTTATTTATTTATTTGAGAGAGCAAGAAAGAGAGAGTGTGTACATGAGAGGGGGGAGGGTCAGAGGGAGAAGCAGACTCCCCACTGAGCAGGGAGCCCAATGCGGGACTCGATCCCGGGACTCCCAAGATCATGACCTGAGCCGAAGGCAGTCGCTTAACCAGCTGAGCCACCCAAGCGCCCCTGATCATACCCTTTTATTGAAAATTGGATTTTCTTTCTTTCTTCCTTCCTTTCTTTTTTTTCTTACATCGTGCTTTTAAAAAATATTTAACTCTTTTGGAGTTAAAATGGGAAATTTGATGCTCAAGTACCTTGAATTCAAATAGGATTTATTAGACAAAAGTAGAAAAGGTAGGGGTTTCTTCATTTTTAAATCAGAAGTTTATATTGTGGTTGTATTAGAATCTCAAATTGTCGAAACCATTTTACCATTACAGATTAGAAGAGTTGTCATCTTTTTAATCCTGTGGGCACATATTTTTTAACTTACAGGAAAAAAGTACATGAATATGCCTACATTTTTATGGTATTTGAACTCCTCCTTCCCACCTTTTTTTTTTTTTTTCCTTTTGTGGAGAGGAAATTTACACATTTTGGGTGGTTTGGCTTTAGTTGTTAAAAAAAATGACAGAACAAGACTCTACAAAACTTTTTTTTTAAAGATTTTATTTATTTGTCAGAGAGGGAAAGTGAGCACAAGCAGGGGGAGAGGCAGACAGAGGGAGAAGCAGGTTCCCTGCTGAGCAGGGAGCCTGATGTGGGGCTCGATCCCAGGACCCTGGGATCATGACCTGAGCCCAAGGCAGACACTTAACTGACTAAGCCACCCAGGCGTCCCTCTACAAAACATTTTAATATGCTGAGAGTTCTTGGCTGAGAAACTGTGTGTTTGGCTTTTAAGAGAGGACTTATCCTGTCTGAGAAGAGTGTTAACTTTTGTTTTAATTTTTGTGGTACAGAATTTTATCCAGTGACTGACTTGATGTGTCATCTTAATCTCTTTAGAGTTGAAAGACAGTCTCTCTCGTATGGGATCTGATTTGAAGCAGGGTTTTATTAGCTCCCTGAAAAGTGCTTGGCAGACATTAAACGAGTTTGCCCGCGCTCACACCTCTTCAACTCAGCTGCAAGAAGAACTGGAAAAAGTGGCCAATCAAATCAAAGAAGAAGAAGAAAAACAAGTAGTTGAAGGTAAATTTGACATTTGAGGCATTTTCTAGTACAAGTGTTATTTGTAAACATAATACTTATGAATTATTTAATGATGCTTTTTCTTTCTGGTCTTTTTTGTTAAAATGTAGAGGTTCTTTTATAAAGGAAAATCTGTTAGGATAAACTACTTCAAAATGCGTGTCAGTCTTTTTCTGGGTTTTTGCCTGTTATTTGCTGGACTTTTTACTCTGCAATCTTAAGTTTTTGTTGAGATTTCCAAGGCCAGAGTGGAATATCAGTATTGAGAGCAAAGCTTGTATTGAAGCATTTTAAAGACCCACTGTAAGAAGTTATCTTCCTGATGTTGTTGTTTCCCTGTGTTGTTGTATTATAGACTTTATCTGCGTTGTTAGGTCATTGTGCCATGATGTTTTTGACTTTCCGATTCTAATTCTGTTTCCTTTCTTTCTACAATGCTCTCTCACCCCTTTTCTTCAAAACTTCTGTCAGCTCGTTGGCTCTTTCTCCTCTCTCTCGGGTAACCAGCCCCTCTTCCTTCCCCTGGCTCTTTGGAGGAATGGGAAGTGAGCCTGGTAGTTCCCCAGGTTGCTACGTGTGTCAAGCGATATTCTCTTGAGCCCAGAAAGTCAGCTAAAGTCAAAGGATAATGATTAAGTGATTGACTTTGATATTGAAATGGTTTAAATTCTAGCAGAAAAGATTGTTGAAAGTCCAGATTTTTCCAAGGATGAGGACTACTTAGGAAAGGTTGGAATGCTAAACGGAGGCCGCCGAATTGACTACGTTCTTCAAGAAAAGCCAATAGAGAGTTTTAATGAATATCTTTTCGCTCTTCAGAGTCATTTATGCTATTGGTAAGTGGTTTCTTCTTTGATAACATTCATGTAGCCTTTAGGTGCTAGCACATAGAGCAGTTTTAGGGAGACTCTTTAACTGATTTATCATTTATGTTGGAATATTAATTACAACTGCCATATATTCAAAATCTATTTTCCCCCTTTATTATCCACAAGATGGCAGTGTATCATCTCTCTTTGACCAAAGGCCTTTGGTACTCGCACACTGATTTTGTAGGGATACCTTTCACAGAATGGGAGTGGTAGGGACTTTGAAAAGCCATCCTGTCACCATGGAGGATTGCAACATAGCTGTTTTGTAGCTGATCGGTATCCATCCAGTTTATAAGGACAGCTTGAAAACGACACTTAACTGTATTGTCATTTGCCTTTCTTAGTGAGGGTTGAATAGAACAAAGTCTGCATTTTCCACCTTTATGCATAGAGGTCTCTTAAGTAAAAATGTTCTTTTCTTTGTGATAGGGAATCTGAAGATACTGCCCTGTTGTTACTTAAAGAAATTTATCGAACAATGAACATTAGTCCAGAACAGCCCCAGCATTGATTGGACTTCAGTGTCACTGTGTAAGTTTATCTTTACTGTGTGCATAGAATCTGAATGTTTCATTCTGAAATCTTTTTTTTTTTTTTCTTTTTTAAGTAATCTCTATGTCCAATGTGGGGCTGGAACTCATGATCCTGAGGTCAAGAGTCACACGCTCCACCGGCTGAGTCAGCTGGGTGCCCCTCTGAAGTCTTTTTTATGGAGTTGATGTTGACTAGAATTTTCTCTTCTTTCTGTTTCTTCCTAGTGTTTATTTTTTCTTTTTTAAAAAAATTCAGAATAGAGACATTAAAGAGGGAAATTGGTTTGCAAGCTATATTTCTGACATGTTACAGTTTTCTTCCTAATTCTGCATAAAATTTTGAGTTCTTTTATTTTCGGTTTTTTCTAAAAGATGTTCCCAGGAATATCAGTTAGGAATTCCTTTGGTTGTAGGTATCAGAATCCAACTCACAGTACCTTAAATGAATAGAGGTTTATTTTTCTTGTGTAACGGGAAGGGTTCATCTGTTGGATGATGTCATTGGACATTCACACATTGTTGGCATCTTTTTATCTGCATGTCAGCTCTTAGTCCATAATTATAAGATGGCTCCTGTGGTTCCAGGCACTGTGTATACATTTAAGACACGAATAAGGGGGAAAGGACACTGGCAGTTATATCTAATCCTTTTATTTTTTATTTTATTTTATTTTATTTATTTATTTTTATTTTATTTTTTAAAGATTTTATTTCTTGGGGCACCTGGGTGGCTCAGTCGTTAAGCGTCTGCCTTCGGCTCAGGTCATGATCC